TTTTTTCCCCTTTCAAGTGTTCAGCTCGAATCCATCCTGCTGCCGACGAGTTTACGGCTCCCACCTTGTCCGAAGGGACACGGCACCCTAAGAAGGTCGATCCCAAAATCTTGCACTTCACGGGTAATCCTCAGGCACCGCCAGCGAATAACCCCGCTGAAGATCAACACGGGACGGCGGTGCCGGGGCGAGTTAAACAAATCCCGAGGAATCTGTTTTATTAGCATTTATAGGATTTGCGTGCGTGAGCGGCTGTGTGTGTACAGCCACACTTGGGAGCGGTAGTTACAGGGGAAAAAAACACAAAAATCCGGGGGATTCCTCCGGGGACGAGCAGCGCTGCTGCTCCTCGGGCTGGGAGCGGTGCTGATGGTGCAGACTGGAAATGTTCGAATATCTGACGGTGTTTTCTTTCCTGTGGAGCTCGCTGGGATTTCTCACAGTTAATACTTCAGCTAAGCACATCAGACTAAAGTTAAGCCCCGCTCTGTGCTCGGCTCCGCAGCCCCAATTTATTTCCTCCCCCAGCCTCCACCGAGGGGGAAAAAAAGTAAATAAAGCAGGAAAACTCCACCAACACCAAAATCGCGGCACTGCCAAGTTTTTTGGGGCAAGAGTGACACTTTTAGGGACACTTTCAGGAGATGGCAACCCCGTTCCTGCTGCCCTTCCCTGGAAACAGCGGCTGGAGCGGCCCTGGGAATTCCTTGGGATCCTTGGGATGGGAAGGGAGCGGTGTCGGGGGTCCCGGGGGTGCCGCCCTCACGCCTGAAAGATGCGAAATTGCCCCAAAAAAGGTGTTGGACCCCCTGCCTTGGAGGCTCGGGCTTGTCCCCGTGGCCACCCAGACACGGGGCACCCACCCTTTGGGCAAGGGAAAAGCCACCAGAGTTTGGTTTGGGATGGGTGGGGGAAAAGAGTTTGGTTTAGGGTGGATGAGGTTGTTCTCACCTCTCGTTTTCCTCTCTGTTTTCCGTCTCCGGTTAAAAACCCTGGCAAGGGGAAAAAAAAAAAAAAAAACCAACCAGAAAAGAAAAGGTTGGAAATGTTCCTTTTGTTACACAGCTCACCTGGGGAAGAAACTCTTTCCCTGTTGGAGGGTTTTCCCCTCCAAGCAAAGGGAAAATGTTGTTCACTAACAGTGGGGTTTGTGCTCGCCCGGCGTAGGATTCCACGACAAGGTATCCGTGAAAACATTATCTGAATATTTAAGCAATAAATTGTTTTGTTTATTCTCCCGATTTATTTTCGTCCCGACGAGGAGTTTTTTAGGAAAAGGGTGGCAGAGAAGTCCCTGCAGCCGCCTCGGGCTCACCGAGCTGCGCACAGCGAATCCACCTCGATAGATTCGGGCCACCCTTGCAGCACCGTGATTTTCTCTTTTTCTGTCGGGATTCTCTTGAAAACTTTCGCAAATCTGCCCTTTTTCCAAACCACCGCAATTTTTTTTTGAAGTACAACAATCTCCCCTCACGTTTTCCTTTGCCATCCGGTCGTTTATCTCTATATTTTGTTCACAGGACACAGAAATGTCCCACATAAATTCCTTTTCGGGGTTAGCAATCACGGAGCTCGTTGAATCGGACCCGTTAGGATCTGGCTTGATATACAGCTAATTTTCCGCAAAAAATAAATATATATATATATATATAAATAAAATATTTTCCCCGATACATATATATATTATTTTTTTTTACCTCTGCTCATACGTCCAGTTTCGGCGGCGGGCGGAGGTTTCATTGAATTTTGAGAATTTCCCCGAAAAGCAGAAGTTTCTTTTCGATGGTTGGTTTTGGTTTTTCGGTTTTGGTTTTTTTTGTTGTTGTTGTTTGGGGTTTTTTTGGTTTTTAGGGTTTTTTTTCCCCTAAATTAATTTTCGTTTGTTTTGCTCGGCAAAAAGTCCCAGCCGGAACACGCTCCAGTTAAAATGAAAATAAAAATACAGCTGTGGGTTAAATCTGGCATCTCCAACGTGCCCAGCAGAGGTGTCCCCATAGAGAGGGGCACGGGACTGCTCTTTTCCCCTATTTTGCGGGTAAAAAGGGCAGCACGGGAAGGATAAACGGGGCACACCGCACATTTTGCCTTTCGCTCAGCTTTCCTTGACCTGCGAGCCTAAATCCAAATTCAATCCCACCCATTCCCTGCAGAAGCCGCTGTCCCCGGCGCGTCAGCCAAGGCCGGGCGCGGTGCCGGTACCTGAGCGGGAGGAGATGGAGTAGGAGGATGGATTAGGAGGATGGATCAGGAGGATGGATTAGGAGGATGGATTAGGAGGATGGATTAGGATTAGGATACCTGACCTGATGCGTTCGGGCATTTGGGGCAGTCCTGGAACCCTTCAGGGCTCCGCTCGCCCTCTGCTCGCCCCCATCTCCGGCCGGAGGCTGCCGCTCGCCACCCGGGGCCCGGGCAGGTCGCGGAGCTCGGCCTTTCCCTCGGTGTGAACGGGCCGGGCTCTCGCTGCTCCCATGGGATCATTAATTTTAGAGGCTCCAGCAAAGGCGCTCGCCCGCCGGCCAAGCCTCCCGCGGGGATTAAGGAGCGGGGCATTGTGTCCCCCATCCCCCTCGGGATGCGGAGCCGCGTCTCGCCGGTCCCTCCTTGTCCCTCCTTGTCCCTCCTTGTCCCTCCTTGTCCCTCCTTGTCCCTCCTCTCCTCGCTGCTTTAATCCCCACGCGTGGCCGGGCTGGCTCCGGGGGCTGGGGCTGTGTCCCCGTGCGGGTGGGACAGGGACACACGCCTGGCTTGGTGTCCCCAGAGGCTGCTCAAGGGCTCCCGTCGGGTTCAACCCTGCCCGGGCTGGGCTTAATTCCCTCACTCGGGACATGACGAGGGGCGCAGGCTTGGGTTTAGTGACAAGCTCCGCAGAGGTGGCCCTGGGCTCTCCGAGGGAGGGGGCTCGGGGGTCTCGGCATCTTCTTCATTCGCTCCATCTCTCCCCGAGCTCTGCTCCGGCAGCTCCGGGGTTAAGCCCCGCTCAGCGGAGCCCGGCGGGGGCTGATGAGCAGCGGAGCTCGGCCCCCTCCTCGGCGTGTGCGAGGGGAACGTGTGAATATATTTGTGTACAAATGTGTAAAATGGCTATTACACACACGACATAAATCAGCGCCGGGGTCTATCCGAGCCGCGCGTACCTGCGCCTGTGTCCAGGTGTGCTTTACCCAACCCAGAATAAACCTCTCGGGAGATTTCCCGGCGCTGGGGAAGGGCCCCACGCGTGTCGCGGCCCCACACCCCCCGCCCCGTGTCCCCAGCGCCGGCCGGGGTGACGAGGCCCCCTCGGGGTCACCGAGAAGGGCAGCGAGGGCCGAGGGGCTCGGCCGGGAGCGGGCTGGGGTTGTCCCCCCGCCCCCGGCTCCCCCCGGGCCGGCCTCCCGTCCCCCCGCAAGCGCCGATTGCGGCTCCGCGCTGCGTTCGGGTCCCTCGGAGGGCGCTGCGCGGGAGGACACGTCACGGATACATTATCCCCTCCCCTCTTGAGGCTCGCCTGGCTTTCCGCAGCCTTTGCTAAAGAATTAACCGAGAGGTCCGCTTCAGAGCTCCTTCTGCCCCTGGGAAAAAAATTAAATAAATAAAAAAAAAAAAGGCGAGGAAAGAAAAGGAAAAAGAAAAAAAAAAAAAAAGAGCGGAGATATCGGTGCTTTCAGACGAGGAGCGTGGCGGCTGTGATTTCCGAGAGGAGGGGAATTTTACCTTCGATCCTTGCCGAATTGCGGGAGGTGAATGTAGCAAACCCTCCCCTTGCCTTTGAAAGGCATGTCTCTGCCAAAGAGCCACCGCTTCGCTCTTGAAATACGTGACAAATAAACAAGAAACAACCAAAAAAAAAATAGAGAGAGGAAAGATTCCTATCCTTCAAATTCTTTTTCTTTAAAAGGGGAAGAAAAAAAAAAACCCAACAAAAAAACCAACCAAACCAATAAATAAAAGCAACAAAATCAATGCCGCGCCTCTGCCAGCGCTCGGACTTGTTTGGAAAGAGACAACAACGCTGAAGTGGCACTGGTCCCGAGGAAAACGGATCCTTTAATTTGACTCCGCATGAGAAGCGCATTTGGAGCCGGGCGCAGCGGCCGCAGCGGCAGGAGCAGCCCCGGAGCCCCCGCAGCCCCCGCGGCCCCCGCGGCAGCCCCGGCGCTGCCGGAGCCCCTCGGGCACGGGCGGAGCAGCAGCAGCAGCAGCGCCCTTGGGCCGCGGGAGCCCGGCCGGAGCGGAGAGGCGGAGGGCAGGGAGAGCCGCTGATCCCGGAGCGCTCCGGCCAGCAGCAGCCACCGGCTTCCACTTGGGCTCAGCGGGGAGCTCGTCGTGTCCTCGGCATCTCCGGGACCAGCTCGTTTTGCACTTCGTCACTTCGTTCTAGGTCGTTCGTTTTCTCCCTTTTTTTTTTTTTTTTCTTCTTCTCTTGAGAGACAAAATGTCCAAAAATGGTTCAGCCTGCTTAGCCCAATGATTTCTTGCACGGACGCTCTATTTTCTTTTTTTTTTTCTTTTTTTCTTTTTTTTTTAATTATTATTTTTGGATGGGGCAGGATTGAGTAGAAGAAATCGTTCGGTGAAGGGAACCCGGCGGTTTGCTCCCCGTTAAGGAGAAGATCGAGATCCGATTCCCAGCTGCACGCAGAGGACGGGGGTTGCCGTGGATCTTTCAGTCTGGCTTTCGGAGCCCTCGCTGCTGCAGGGTCAGAGCAGAACTGCCTTCTCCGAGCGGCTTTCCTGTCCTGCTTGCCGCTCCGAGATCGCCTCCCCCCTCCTCGCACCATTTCTGTTCGTGTTGGTTTTGTTTGGTCGGTTTAGCTTTATTTTTCCCACCCCTTTTTGGTCTATTTTTTCCCCCTTTCGTTTATTACTATTATTATTATTATTATTAATTATTTGATTCGGGTAAATTGCCTTCCTAAAACGAAAATACTAACTCTGCCGACGAAATCCATGCCCCCTGCCATTCGGAAGAACCGGGTCTAATATGCCAGTGACATCTCCGCCTTGCAGCAGTCGCGATGAAGGAAAAATCCAAGAACGCGGCAAAGACTAGACGGGAAAAAGAAAATGGAGAATTCTACGAACTGGCCAAACTCCTGCCCCTGCCCTCGGCCATCACCTCGCAGCTGGACAAGGCGTCCATCATCCGCCTCACCACCAGCTACCTGAAAATGCGAGCCGTCTTCCCCGAAGGTAAAAACAGCGCCGGGGCTCCGGGAGCCCGCACGGAAGGGACGGGGACAGAGGGGCAGGGGGTGCTGGGGTGGGCACGGCCCCATCGGCGCCCTGGCAGGAGGGAGGGGATGCCCGCAGGGGTCTCAGAGCGAGCCAGGGGGGATTGAGGGAAAAGCGGGCTGGGAATGAGCCCGTCTGCCCCAAGCCCGGCGGCGGGGGGAGGCAGAGCCGGCCGCTTCATCCCCCCTTCCTCCCCCTCCTCCTCCTCCTCGGCTGCCGCTTCAGCTCCGGTGGCTCGGGGGTCCCGTCCCGATGAGAGCGGGCTCGGTTCGTGCGTTCAGCCCCGGAGGAGGGGGTGGCCCCTGGGCACGGCGCTTCCCGTCCGGGCACGGCCTCGGAGGGGAAAAAAAAACCCCAAACCCGTGTGGTTGTTATTATTATTTTGTTTTGGTTGGAGTTCTCTGGAGCCAGGGAAGCAGGCTGGGAATGAAGGCGCGGCCGCTCCGCAGCGAGGCCCTGCGGCTTCTCCCGGGGACGGAGAGCGGAGAGAGGGGAAGGAGAATCCGAGCCCAGCCCGGCCCGGCCCGGCCCGGGGCTGTGGCTCCCGTGGCTCTTCTCGGGGCCACCCAGCAGCCAGGCCCGGCACCGACCCCGCTGGATTTGGGGGAAATCATCCCCTCGGGAGGCTCTGCCTTCCCCCGAGCGCCCCTGGGGCCGCCGGGCGAGGGGAGGCTGCGGGCCGGGGCTGGCGGTGCGGCCGCGGAGCTGATGCGCTGGGCAGTGTCTGCGGGCGGCTGAAGAAAGCCCAGCAGCCCCGCTTTGTCATTTGTTTGTGCCTCCTCTCCGCACCGGGAGCAGGGCGAAGGAATTAGCGAATTCCGCAGGAGAACGTCTGCTCTCCTCCTTAGCGCGGTTTCTAAGGAGCTTTATTAAAAGGCTAAAAAGAAAAACACGAGCAAAAAATAAAATGGGGGGAGGGCGGGGAGAAACCCCCCCGTCCTCCTCCCAACCCGAGTAAAAGCTTACCGTCGTGGCCATTTAACTCAGAAATTTCGGGGGCACGGAGCAGCCGTGCTAATTTGGGAAGCCAGGGCTCCCGAGCCAGCGGAGCGAGGGGAGCGGGCGCTGCTCCGCCGCATTTTCCAGCCATTATCCCCCACCGGGAAATTTCCCCGTGAGAAATAGAACGCTGTAATTTCGAGGGGGGCGGTGGTGGTGGTGGTGGGGGGGTCACTGGCCGGCCGTGCCTGGCGAACGTGCCCCCGAACGCCTTTGATTTAGGAGGGAGGGAGAGCGGCACGTTTCGAGATGCTGCTGGATGCGTCCCGGGCTTTTCCAGCCCTGCTGATCCTCAAGAGCAGCGAGCCGACCCCGAGAGCAGGTTTATACCCACAGCTCGGGTGTGCTTTATGTGTCTGTCTTCCCTAAACAGGCCGGGCGTGCGCTTCCGCACACTCTGCTTATTAAGGGCAACGTTTAAATGCATACAGCGAATTCCTGATCTTTCATCGTTTTAAGGACGGCTGGAAATACATTTAAAACCAAAGCTTTGCATCCAGGGATGACAGGCCGGGGGGAATTGCCTCCTCCGGTCCCCGAGCCCTGCGTTTAGTGCCTGGGAGGGTGCAGGGGAAAGGGGGGAGCCGGGCAGAGGCGGCTGCCGAAGGATTTTTTTAGGGGGGGTTTCTTCCACACAGTCCCGCATCACCCGAGCTTCCCTCTCCCTCGGGATTTGCCTGTGGAAAGAGAGGAAGGGGGGTCCCCATTCGTCCGTCCTTCTGTCCGTCCTCCCCCCCCCTCCTCACAACTGGTTTCCAGTTGGCTTTACTGGGAGGGGAAACAGCCCAGAGAGGCGTCCCGTCTTCAACCCCGGGCCAGCCTGAGCCGGGGGATGAGCCCCATGGCCAGGGCCGGAGCCGGTGGGTCCCGGGCGGTGGAATGAAGGCGGGCACACCGCAGCACCCCGGGCTGCCCCAGCCGTCACCCTCTGGGGCTCAGGGGGGTGCCAGGGTCGGGGGGACAGGTCTGAGACACAACCAGACGCGTGCTAGGCCCGGACTAACTGCGGCCAGCCCGGGCAGGAGCGCGGCTCGGCTGCGGACCCGGCTGCCAGCTCCGTCTGGGCTGGAGGGAAAGAGAGAGAAAGAAAGAGAGAGAGAGTTGTGGTTTTAAACCCCTCGGTGGAGGGCTCGCCCCCTGGTTTCCAGACGTAGTTTAGGAAAAGTTTGAGCCCCTCAGCGAAGGTGGCTGATCCCGACAGGGCTTGGGACAGGTTTCCTGCTTTTCCCGAAGATGGACCGAACCCGCTCAGGCTCCAGAGAGCCAAAGGGGATTTGTACCCCGGCTCCTTTACCCCAAGCACTGCAAGGGACAAGTTCGGGCTGCGAAATCCCAGATTGTGCCCTGCGGTACCGCTGCGACCTTGAGATTCAGGAGTTAAAGTCAGGACACAGCAGCCTCCAGCGTCCCGTTCTCTAACACCGTCTTCTCTCGTGTTTTCGGTTGGGTTTTTTTTGGTTGTTGTTATTGCCACGGCTTTGTTGCTGTAGAACAAAAACACACCACGAGTCGTCTTCTGCCTCCGCTGTCAGTATTTTTTTTATTTTATTTTTTTTATTTTTATTTTGAAAATGAGTTAATGAAGGAAAGAGAGGCGAGAATGAACCGCGTTTAAAAACTGCGATTCTCTGCCCCCCGGTTATGACAGACTGGTGAAATCGTCACCCTCTCCCTCCCCCATCCCCGGCGCAGTGTCCAAAACCGATTATGAAATTGGACATTTATGGTTGTTTCAACCGGATGGGAGCCAGCTAATTAATATGTGACCCAAAATACAATGTGCGCAATAGAAAATAATCTGAATAAAGTGACGGAGCGGTAGATTTCAGACCTTCCTTATTCCGAGAGGCAGACAATAGAAATTACTAGGAATATTCACAGCCCTCGGTCCCCATTTAAACCTGGCCACGAATGTAAATTTTAAGAAAATCAAGGCGAATCGCAGCCATTTCATCTGATGGTCACACGCGCTCGGAAAAGGTTCGTTAATGAATTAAACAAATAAATAAAGAGCGAGGCGTGGGTAATCCCTTCTTGGAAAGCCAGCCCCTATTGTACTAACCACTAACAGTGACATTAAAGGTCCCACTAAAACAAAAGTGCTTTTTTCAGGCTTTTCCCGGGGCCGTTCCCAGGCGGCGGGAGCCGCGGCCCCGCGGTGCGGGGACGGGCGGCGGGGTCGGGGCGGGGACGGGCGGCGGGGTCGCTCCGGTCTCTCCCGGCCGGTGGGGAGGGAGGGAGGGAGAGGAAGGGCGGGGGTCACCGCCGTGGGTCTGCCCGTGACCTCCCCGTCTGTAGGACGCCGCTTTGGGGCCTCTTAACACGACCTGGTGGGTTGGGCTCGGCGGGGAGAGCCGGGTTTGTGCGGGTGTCCTCGGGGGCAGATTTGTTAGAATGTTTTTTCCTCACTTTTTGTTTTCTTTTCAATTTTTTTTTTCTGGGAGTTCACCCCTTAAAAAAATTATTTTATTTAATTTTTATAAATAAAAGTCTTGATCTTTCCGCCCGTCCTCGGCCACCTTCCCGGCGCTGAGCCCGCAGAGAGGAGCGGCCGGCCCCGCACGTCCCTGCCCGGACTTGCTCCCTCCCAGACCCGCCCTGACCTGGGGGTTTCCCCTCTCTCAGGGGTTCCCCTGGCCGGGTCCGGGTGCTCCCCGCTGGCTCCGCACCCAGCGGTGCTGTCGGGGCTGAGATTCCCCCGGCCCCCGCTGCACACGGGGCTTGGTGTCAGCGCTGCCCTCGCACCCTCCCCACGGGGCGACAGCGGAGCCTCGGAGCTCATCCAGGGACACAGAGCTCGGTGGAGCTCAGGCAGGGACACAGAGCTCGGCGGAGCTCAACCAGGGACACAGAGCTCGGTGGAGCTCAGCCAGGGGCACAGAGCTCGGTGGAGCTCCACCAGAGGCACAGAGCTCGGCGGAGCTCAACCAGGGGCACAGAGCTCGGTGGAGCTCAGCCAGGGGCACAGAGCTCGGTGGAGCTCAACCAGGGGCACAGAGCTCGGTGGAGCTCAGGCAGGGACACAGAGCTCGGTGGAGCTCCGCCAGGGGCACAGAGCTCGGTGGAGCTCAACCAGGGACACAGAGCTCGGCGGAGCTCAACCAGGGACACAGAGCTCGGTGGAGCTCAGCCAGGGGCACAGAGCTCGGTGGAGCTCATCCAGGGGCTCACAGCTCGGTGGAGCTCAACCAGGGGCACAGAGCTCGGTGGAGCTCAACCAGGGGCTCACAGCTCGGTGGAGCTCAACCAGGGGCACAGAGCTCGGTGGAGCTCAGCCAGGGACACAGAGCTCGGTGGAGCTCAACCAGGGGCACAGAGCTCGGTGGAGCTCAGCCAGGGGCGCAGAGCTCGGTGGAGCTCAGCCAGGGGCGCAGAGCTCGGTGGAGCTCAGCCAGGGGCGCAGAGCTCGGTGGAGCTCAGCCAGGGGCGCAGAGCTCGGTGGAGCTCAACCAGGGGCGCAGAGCTCGGTGGAGCTCAACCAGGGGCACAGAGCTCGGTGGAGCTCCGGGGCTGCCCCACGGGAATGTCCCCGAGGCTCTCCCGGCCGAGGGAGGCACAACGGCGCTGGGGAAACCCCAAAAAGCAGAGTTGGCTGCGAGCCCCCAGGGTTTGCCCTTGTTCCTTGTGAAGGCTGAGGGACCTTGCGCTCCGCGGAACAGCCCAGCAGACACAAAGGAAATAGTCCAAGTTACAGGGCAACCCGATACTGAACGTAATACATGGCTGAGTAATTCTTTTAGCAGAATCCCGAGCTGAAAAGCTACCGGGCTTTCAAATGTGTGCGCGGACGGACTTCTGTATGCCCAGAGCAAAGGTGGGAGTTGTTCCCAAATATTTCTAGATCTTATTACAGTTCCACTCACCCCGCTGGCTCCCTGGAAACCGGGAAATGTACAAACGGCACAAAGCGAGTGCTGAGGTACTTTGAAAAACAGCCAGAGGTGTCAAAAAGGACAGAGAGGGATTTTGTCCGTGTTTGCCACAGGGCGCGTTTGTACGAAAATCCCCCAATTTTTCAACGGCAAAAGCAGCAGGAATTTTGGGGTGTTTGTTTAAAACCCCCTCTGATTCCGAGCCGGAGCTGCCGGAGCCGCCTCCCGGTGCTCGGAGGGGTCCGGCGGGCACAGCCTCGCCCTGCCCGGGATCCCGCTCCTCCTGCCGGGCCCGGGGGGACAGACACCGGTCCGAACACCGGGAAAAGCAGGAGAGAGGCTCATCCCGCCCGTGTCTGCTGCGGCAGAGTGCCAGAAAAGCGGAGGCTGAGCCTGGGACTGGCCAGACACCGTCCCGCAGGGGCTCTGGGCTCTGCCGCTGAGCCCAGCCCCGGCTCTCCCGGCTCCCCGCTGCCGGAATTCCCTGGGATCGCTGGATCCCGGTGATCCCCGAGCCTCTGGCAGGGCAAAGGAGCCGCGCTGGGGCCGGGCCATCCCCACGGGTGTTCCCAGCGTTTGCGGGGAGGATGCTCCAGCCGCCCGCTGGCTGGGAATTCTCTCTCGGGCCGGGTAATTCCTGCTGCGAGGGCACGTCTGGAAATGTCCCCTTCCAAAGCGCCCCGTGCGGGACACCCGGCAGCGTCCCCAGGCAGGGATCGCCTCCCACCGCCAAGGAGCGGTGCAGAAAGGCTCGCTGTGGATCCGCAGGGATTTTGGCCTCGCTCCAGGCCAGGGAGTGAATTTGGGAGTTATTTCCCGGCCGGGCAGGAGCAGCCAGGCCCAGCCTATGGCATCCATACATTTACAGGAACGCGCGTTCGCAAATGGCTCGGAGGAGAAGTTAATGGGCGTTAGTCCCTTATTCGAATGTAAGGTTTTATTCGTTTCGTTTTCACCTTTAAAGCGATCTGCTGGCGGATTAAATGATAAAATCGCCGGCTTTAAAATAAGCTCAGACGAATGCCAGGCTGATCCACCGAACGTGTTTACGTTTGATGCGCGTTCGCGATTCCGACTCCAATTTAAAATTCCTGAGGGAGCGAATCTGAGCAAGTGACATTTTTTATTCCGGGCTAGGAAAGAACCTCAAAACCCGTGCAGATTTTGGGATGCTGAGAAAGGACGGGACGGAGCGAATTGTCTCGCACGGGTGGGGCAGAGACGCGGCTCGTTCTTGAAGGGTTTCGTGAGAGCTCAGGGAATAAATCTGCTCCGTCTTTGGGAACGGAACTGCTCAGAGCAGTTTTTACACCTCTCTTTGTAGGTTTGCAGTCTCATATTTCGAAATTTGTAATGAGTAAATCGAAATAAGGGCAAACCCCGCATTTGTTGCCGTCTCGGGAAAGAAGCTGCAGGAAAACTCCGCCATTCCCAAACTTTCTCTCCGAGAAACAAAAAAGCCTTTCAGCAGAAAGGACATTTTTGCCGTATCTCTGGAAATCTAGGAGGCTTTCCCAAACGGAGAATTGGGGAAAGGCGGAGAAAAACTCGAATTTTCGTTTGGCTCTCCCGAACAATTTTCCCAGCGCTTCTTTCAGAGCGGGGAAGGCAAAGGGGAAAACGAGGGCAGTTCCCGGGATTTGGGGAGACGGACACAGGGTGCGGATGCAGACCCCTCTTTTTGGGTGCTGCTGCTGCCTCGGGACGGCGAAAAGGAGGGGTCAGGGCCGGCTCAGGTGCCCGGTGTCCCCTGCCTGGCATGGGAAGATCCTCAGCGCTTTCCCGGCGGGAAAGGAATCAAAACTCGGGGGAAGCACCGCGTTCCTCCAGGTAGATCCTGCCCATCCCAAGGGATGCCCCAAGAGTGGAGGGAAATCCCCCCATCATTCCCAGGCCGGGTTTAAGTGCCCAGAGCACAAACGGATCCGGAATCACGGGGCTGCAGCTCAGGGCAGGAATTTCTGCCAGTTTTCCCTCCCGTTCCGGAGGCACAGCCGGCAGAAAGGAGATTTCTTTGGAAAGCCCCTGGCCGGCCAGAGGGCACCGGGGGAAGACGCGGGGCTCGGTTTCATAGCGGGGCATTCGCGAAACGGGCCGGAATTCCAGGCTGGCAGCACCGAATCATCCAGGGCTAGGGGCCAAAAAAACCCTTTTTGGGTTTTGAGGCCTCCCCGAAGCCCAGGGTTGTTGTTTCGCTCCAAAAACGAGGCACCAAACGGATGCGGTCGCGTCCTTCCCTTCCCCTCCATCCCTTGGGGACAGTGACCCCTCTGTCACCGGGTGGCGGCCTCGGCTCCTCGGGGAGCTCCTGAAAGGTTCCTTGGGGAGCTCTGAAAGGCTCCTTTTTACCCTGGAAGCCAAAATCAACCAACCAACCTCAGCCCCGCCGCCCCTCCTGGCCCCAAGGCAGCTCCGTCAGGAACCGTCCCCTGCCCCGAGGCGGGCTCGGCTGTGGGCTCGGGTTTGGGATCAGGCTGTGGGCTCGGGTTTGGGCTTGGCTGTGGGATCGGGCTATGGGCTTGGGTCAGGTTTGGGGCCGAGCTGTTGGCTCGGGTTTGGGCTCGGGCTGTGGGCTCAGGTTTGGGGTCAGGTTGTGGGCTCGGGTTTGGGGTCAGGTTGTGGGCTCGGGTTTGGGGTCAGGCTGTGGGCTCGGGTTTGTGCTCGGGCTGTGGGCTCAGTTTGGGGTCAGGCTGTGGGCTCGGGTTTAGGCTCGGGCTATGGGTTCGGGTCGGGTTTGGGCTCAGGCTGTGGGCTCGGGTTTAGGCTCAGGCTGTGGGGTCGGGTTTGGGCTCAGGCTTAGGCTTGGGCTGTGGGCTCGGGTTTGGGCTTGGGCTGTGGGATCAGGTTTAGGCTCAGGCTGTGGGGTTGGGTTTGGGCTCGGGCTGTGGGATCAGGGCCCGATGGGGCCAGGGGATGAAGCTCTGTCGGTCCCGTCCGTGCTCAGGTGAAATCGGGGTGGTTTATCTCCAATCGAGCTCCTCTTTAACCTCTTTTCCTCTTCCTTGTCCACCTTGGGGGTGGCCACTCACAGGGACATGGACAGGGACAGGGACAGGGACAGGGACATGGACAGGGACAGGGACAGGGACGCAGACAGGGACAGGGACAGGGACAGGGGCAGGGACATGGACAGGGACAGGGAAAGGGACAGGGACAGGGACAGGGGCAGGGACAGGGACAGGGGCAGGGAGAGGGACAGGGACAGGGACAGGGGCAGGGACATGGACAGGGACAGGGACATGGACAGGGACAGGGACAGGGGCAGGGACATGGACAGGGACAGGGGCAGGGACATGGACAGGGTCAGGGTCAGGGACAGGGACAGGGACAGGGACAGGGACAGGGGCAGGGACATGGACAGGGACAGGGACACAGACAGGGACAGGGACAGGGACAGGGACGATGCAAGGACAGGACGGGCCCGGCGGGCGATGGGAGCGGCTGCGGCCGCGTCCCTGCAGGAATTTCCTCCGGGAATTCGGGGAAGGTGCATCCGCGGGGATGCTCCGCTCCAGAAAAAGAACAATTCCTGCCCAAAAACTGCGTGGGGAAGGGACTCGGCCTTTGCCACCACGGCAGGAGGGGGAGCACGGGCAGGGCAGGGGGGACAGCTCGGGCTCCGCTGCCGGCTCTGACCAAATGCTTGGGGTTTTTTGTAGGTCTGGGCGACGCCTGGGGACAGCCGAGCAGGATCGGCCCTTTGGATAACGTGGCCATGGAGCTCGGATCCCACTTGCTTCAGGTAGGGCACATGGACACCCCGGGGGTGAGCGGCTGCCTCTCATTTTCCTCCCTTTTCTCCTCCTCCTCCTCCTCCTCCTCCTCCTCCTCCTCCTCCTCCTCCTCCTCCTCCTCCCGCACCACCACAGCGGCCTGGCTGAAGCCTTCATCTCGTCGGGCTGGGAGAGCAGAAAACCAGAGGCACCAACCACTTAAATTCCAAATATTTCACGATTTTTCGCCTTTGGTATCGGCCGAAGCAAGGGGCGCTTGTCCTCTCTGTGCAGGCCCAGCCCGAAAAGCGGCGGGGATGTCCCCAGGGAGCCCCCGGGGGAGGGGACAGGCGCTCCCCGGCGGTGGCACCGGGAAGGGGACAACACCTGCATTGGATCTCCTGGGACTGTAGCGCCTGAACGTCCCGCTGTTCACAGCCCCGGTGATCTGCTCTGCAATTCCTCTGAGTTCTGAATTTAGGAAGTCGCAGCCGGGGCGGGGGTGCCAGCAGGAGGGATAAAAAGAAAATTAAAAATTGACTTTAACTATAAATATAAATATATATATTTTTATATTTATGTTTTATATATTTATATTTATATATATTTATATTTATATTTTTAAGTTTTAAATCCAATTTTTTACTTTTATTTATATATTTATATATATTTGTATATATATAATATTATATATTATAATATATAATATATAATATATAATATATAATGTATATAATTTTTATATATTATATATGATAATATATATAATATATAATGTATATAATATTATTTATTCATTTATTTATTCTAATTTGAATTTGAATTTGAATTTGAATTTGAATTTGAATTTGAATTTTAATTTTAATTTTATTTCTAAATTTGTATTTTTATATATTTTATTTGTATCTATTTTTATATATTTTAATATTTATTTATTTATTTATTTATTTATTTATTTATTTATATATTTATACGTGAACCAAATACGACACAGGTTTTCTCCCCCCGATTTTTAAGAGCCACCAAACCGGAATCGTTTATTGGGCGGGTTTTTGTGGGAGATGAATCCCTGCTCACAGAGCCGGAGCTGTTTTCACTCCTTCGCTCGGCCGGGGATAAAAACCCGACAGAAAATCCCTGCCCCGGCCGCGGTGCCGCAGCTCCGACCTTGGGAATGACGAGCGCCGTTCTTCACCTCCCCTGCGGGGAAAAACGAGATTTTTGGGAGGTGCTGACAACAGCCAGGCGATGGCAGAGCTCAAAGTGATCTCCTGGGGAGGCATTTCCAGCCTTGGAATATTTTATTTTATTTTATTTTATTTTATTTTATTTTATTTTATTTTATTTTATTTTATTTTATTTTATTTTATTTTATTTTTTTTTATTTTATGTAGCTGCTGCCCTCTCAGCTGTTTCAGTCACGAGCCCACCTGGAAATGCTGATCTAGTTGTGTATAATAACCTGCATGATAATTTAATTGAGGTATTAAAGTGCAGACCCAGTTGTATAAATCATTGCTGTTGCTCCTCCTCCTGGCTGTTCCCTGTTTTGTCTGGCATTAATTGAATTTATAACAAATTAAATGCTGACCACCTGCAACTCTCATTTTACAGTTCAGTTATTTCTGAATGACGAATGCTGAAGGTTTTAATAAACCCACATTTACTGCAAACTTTTTTTTTTTCTAAGGGTTCTTAGACTGAAATTTTCCATGTGAATTTTCAGCTTCAGTGTGCTTCCCTGTACATGAAATTTTGGGGTGTGCTGCAGTAACAGCAGCATTGAGCCAAGTTAATAAATGATAAATTAATAAACAATTATTAATTAAGGGTAAAGCAATTGCAAGACAACAGTGTTCAAAGCAAAATTGCGTCTAAAACTGCAATAAATTATTTCCCATTATAATATTGCCACAAAATTTAATTTATGCGTAAATTGGCAAAGAGTAATCTGGTTCCAGTTATATGCTGTAGAGCCATTAGCAGGCCAGAGAATAATTTGGAATATTTTCTTATTGGGGTGGCACTAGAGGAGCATGAAGTAGACAGGATTTTATTGCTTCTCTTCCAGTTCAGTGCCTTTAAATGGATTAAAACAGGTGGTTGTTCTACTTATGTCCTGCAAAAATTATTTTTCTCTTCCAAATGCATTTTCCAGTGATAGTCACATGTGGGAATATTCCCTGACAGTCACCTGTTGGTCAAAGCTTTCTGTGCTGGGTAGAGATAATGCAGATTTTTTGTCATCAGTTACTTTTGCAAAAAATGCCTGAAATTGGGCACTGAGAAACCAAGGGCCCCCCAAACTGAGGGGTTTTGTATCCAAATCATGGCCAGTTCTGGCTGAGCTTTACCACATTATTTATTTTTTTTTTCTCCTATAAATAATATCAGCCCAAACCAAACTTCAGTTTTTACTTTCAATTGCCTCCCAGCCAATTTTCTGTCAAGGAGAATTTGTAGGATTCGGCCTCAAGTTTGAGCTGGTTGAGGTTTGCAGACTGCAAGGATAAAACTTCATCACACCCAAAGAAGGATATTTGTGCTTATTAATTTTGGATGCTGGCAGAGGACGAGGCTGCTCAGCTTGATTGGGGTTTTTTATGTCAGAAAGTCTCTAAATTGAAGGGAGAGATCATTAATACACAGCCAGCCTTGAATTCTTTAATTTTTTTTTTGGCAGGTGAATTCCCTTTGAGGTTGAAAGAGAGATATTTGTGCTCATTAATTTGACCTTTTCTGCTTTCCTTTTGGAAGTTGACGCTGTGGTAGAGCAGAGAGCTCTTTGCTCAGAAACGCATCCTCGAAAGCGCGGCCCAATCTCAGCATTGCTGGTGCTGCCATGGAACGCATTGCAAATGGCTGGGTCTGCCAATTGTGCCATAAAAAACGGCTCAGGCAGGGCCTGGCTTCCCCTCAGCACCACAGAGCCCAGGATTTGGGCTGAGCACTAAAAAACCCAGCAAAATATTCCCTGAAAAGCAGCAAAACATTCCCTGAAATGGCAGCAGCAGCAAAGCTGCAAATGCAGGGGCCGAGGTGCATTTCACACTGACCCTGGGTTTAAAGGAACAAAACCAGATAAAAGGATAGAAACCCATAAAAACCCATAAAAACCCCTGCTCCTCTTAGAAAAAGCCATTTTGGGAATAAGCAGCCACCATAAATACATTTTTTTTACCTGTTAATTTTTAAAAATGTGAGCAGGAAACATTCTTAGTGCTGTTTGCTCACTCTGTTCTGGTACACTTTTAATTGTTCAAACCATTTAATTCATGTTCAAATTCCTTTCAATCTTGCTTTGCTTGATATATAATAATAAATATTAATATAATAAATCAACTTCCCTCCACAAGGGCCCTGTTTGCCACTCATTTTTTCAGCCTGGGTTTCTCTCACCCTGAATTTTCAATCCTGAGGGATTCAGGATTTTACCTGCTCAAATCCATCCATTTCATCAGTGCCATTATCCCAAAGCACTGAGCATTCCCATCCATCCATCCTGGAGCAGAAATTCCCTGTCTTGTATTTTTTGCTCCCAAAATTTTCCAAATTTTTTGCCCAGCAGTTGTTATTTTGGAGGAATATCCATCCACCAGATCTTGTAGGTCTTGGCATCATTATTATTATGATTATTATGATTATTATGATTATTATGATTATTATTATTATAATATTTTATTTTTGTTTTTGTTTTTGTTTTTGTTTTTATTTTTATTTTCATTTTTATTTTTATTGTATTTTAAATTTTAATTTTATTGTATTTTTAATTTTAATTTTAAATTTTATTTTTAATTTTAATTTTAATTTTAATTTAAATTTTAATTTTAATTTTATTATTTCCCCAAAATTTTGCTGTTTGTTGCTGTTGAAGTCGGAAATCATCCTCCAAAATCCATTTTTTTTCCCCCTGTAAATGCTTTAAACAGATTTCTTGCTTCTTACCCTGTGCATTTCTCTTCATTTCAGACTCTGGATGGTTTTGTTTTCGTCGTGGCATCCGATGGCAAAATAATGTACATTTCTGAAACAGCCTCTGTGCACCTTGGCCTGTCCCAGGTATGTGCTCTGACACCTAAAATCTAAATAAAATAAAGCTGCTAAACACAAATTTGGACTCTCACACTGCTGCCTTGCTTTTATATAAAGTAATTTTCTTTTTTCAGGGCTGTTTGAAGCTTTTTTCTCCTTGCAAAGGGCTTTGGTAAAAGACTCAAATTTCCTTTCCTTGCCACCACATCAGCCTGAATTTATATCAGTTCTTGTTCATTGTATTTTACCCCTCATTACCTTTCAGAGGGGCCATAAATAATATGATATTGCAAATTGCAGATGGAGGCAGGGCCTGAAACCCCAGCGTGGGCAGGCAATAGGGCTGAAATAAAACCCAGAATTGGACTCTGGGAGCCTGAGATTGTGTCAGATATGGAGGCTGCCCATGAAAGGGAGAGAAATCTGGTGTGGAACAGGGGGTTTATGGTAAATGTGCTGGAGGAGGAGGAAAAAATAAAAATAAAAATAAAAATAAAAAATTAAAAAAAAGATTGTGTCAGATATCGAGGCTGCCCGTGAAAGGCAGAGAAATCTGGTGTGGAACAGGGGGTTTATGGTAAATGTGCTGGAGGAGGAGGAAAAAATAAAAATAAAAATAAAAATAAAAATAAAAAATTAAAAAAAGGATTGTGTCAGATATCGAGGCTGCCCGTGAAAGGCAGAGAAATCTGATGTGGAACAGGGGGTTTATGGTAATTGTGCTGGAGGAGAAAAAAAATAAAAACAAAAGGAAAAAATAATTTAGAGTGGACACAGAAGGGCCTTTTTATTAAACAATTTGACAATTAACTGAAATTCAGAATTTGACTCTGGGAGCCTGAGATTGTGTCAGATATTGAGGCTGCCTGTGAAAAGGAGAAAAATCTGATGTGGAACAGGGGGTTTATGGTAAATGTGCTGGAGAAGGGGAAAAAAATTTAAAATAAGGAAAAAATGGTTTAGAGAGGGCACAGAAGGGCCTTTTTAATAAATAATTTAAAATTAACTGAAATAAAACTCAGAATTTGATTCTGGGAGCCTGAGATTGTGTCAGATATTGAGGCTGCCTGTGAAAGGCAGAGAAATCTGAACAGGGGTTTATGGTAAATGCACTGGAGGAGGAGGAAAAAATAAAAATAAAAATAAAATAATGCTTTAGAGAGGACACAGAAGGGCCCTTTTATTAAATAATTTGACAATTAACTGAAATAAAACTCAGAATTGGACTCTGGGAGCCTGAGATTGTGTCAGATATTGAGGCTGCCCGTGAAAGGCAGAGAAATCTGATGTGGAACAGGGGGTTTATGGTCAATGCGCTGGAGGAGGAGGAAAAAATAAAAACAAAAGGAAAAAATGCTTTAGAGTGGGCACAGAAGGGCCTTTCTAATAAATAATTTGAAATTAACTGAAATAAAACTCAGAATTTGACTCTGGGAGCCTGAGATTTTGTCAGATATTGAGGCTGCCCGTGAAAGGGAGAAAAATCTGGTGTGGAACAGGGGGTTTATGGTAAATGCGCTGGAGGAGGAGGAAAAAATAAAAATAAAAATAAAATAATGCTTTAGAGTGGGCACAGAAGGGCCTTTTTAATAAATAATTTGAAATTAACTGAAATAAAACTCAGAATTTGACTCTGGGAGCCTGAGATTGTGTCAGATATTGAGGCTGCCCATGAAAGGGAGAAAAATCTGATGTGGAACAGGGGGTTTATGGTAAATGCATTGGAGGAGGAGGAAAAAATAAAAATAAAAATAAAATAATGCTTTAGAGTGGGCACAGAAAGGCTTTTTTATTAAATAATTTGAAATTAACTGAAATAAAACCCAGAATTTGACTCTGGGAGCCTGAGATTGCGTCAGATATTGAGGCTGCCCATGAAAGGGAGAGAAATCTGATGTGGAACAGGGGGTTTATGGTCAATGTGCTGGAGAAGGGGAAAAAAATTTAAAATAAGGAAAAAATGCTTTAGAGAGGGCACAGAAGGGCCTTTTTAATCAATAATTTGAAATTAACTGAAATAAAACTCAGAATTTGACTCTGGGAGCCTGAGATTGTGTCAGATATTGAGGCTGCCCATGAAAGGGAGAAAAATCTGAACAGGGGGTTTATGGTAAATGCACTGGAGGAGGAGGAAAAAATAAAAATAAAAATAAAATAATGTTTTAGAGTGGGCACAGAAGGGTCTTTTTATTAAATAATTTGACAATTAACTGAAATAAAACCCAGAATTTGACTCTGGGAGCCTGAGATTGTGTCAGATATTGAGGCTGCCCATGAAAGGCAGAGAAATCTGATGTGGAACAGGGGGTTTATGGTAAATGTGCTGGAGGAGGAGGAAAAAATAAAAATAAAAAGGAAAAAATGCTTTAGAGAGGGCACAGAAAGGCCTTTTTAATAAATAATTTGAAATTAACTGAAATAAAACTCAGAATTTGACTCTGGGAGCCTGAGATTGTGTCAGATATTGAGGCTGCCCATGAAAGGCAGAGAAATCTGAACAGGGGGTTTATGGTAAATGCGCTGGAGGAGGAGGAAAAAATAAAAATAAAAATAAAGGAAAAAGGGGGGCAGATTTATGAGTGTTCACATGGAATTGAGGGCAGTTTTTCCTGAGTTTTTCCAGCTCAGTGCTCTTTTCAGTAAAGCATTTTATATGGTTGTGATAGAACTCATAAAACTCAGTTTACTACTGTTCTGCACCAGGACTATGAGGGGGTTTTATGGTTTTATGGTTTTTTTTTTCCTCTTAGATGGACATTTCTAATTTTTTTTGCCTTCTTGGGATAGGCACAAGGGCAAAGAGCCTGCATTTATTATAGAAATTACAATTAAAGTAGAAATTGTCTTTCCATGCCTTTGTTTGGAACTGAAATTCACCGGTAGCACCTGACCCGAAGTTTGCCAAAGTCTCATTAAAAAAATTCCTCATTAATTGCAGCAGGCCCTGGATGGGACTTGCAAGGAGCTGAAGTGTTCAAACATTTATCAGTAAATAAATGAATTGAAATAAAGCCCAAAGAGCAGAGGAGATGAAGGTGAGAGAGAGGAGAATATTCTGAGAATATTCTGAAATTAATTCAGGTGAATTTATCCTGTGGCTGTTTCCATAAACAGAGAGAGAGAGAGGCTTTAATGGTGGGGATTATTTACCTTAATTTTTTGTAGTAATCCGTATTTTTAATTGAATAAAATGTGGAGTTTTTTGGATGTGTGTTTATAACAATGATTGTAGAATTAGTGGCTATAAGAAAGAAAATGGAACTCAAGAAGCAGAGAAATCAAGGATATAAAGCCATAAAAACCACTTCTAAACTCCTGTTTCTCTTAGAAAAAGCCATTTTGGGAATAAGCAGCCACCATAAATACTTTATTTTTTTTTTACCTGTTAATTTTAAAAATATGAGCAGGAAACATTCTTAGTGCTGTGTGCTCACTCTGTTCTGGTACAGGTTTAGTTGTTTCAAACCATTTAATTCACGTTCAAATTCCTTTCAATCTTGCTTTGCTTGACAATCAACTTCCCTCCACAAGGGCCCTGTTTGCTACTCATTTTCCAGCCTGGGTTTCTCTCACCCTGAATTTTTAATCCTGATGGATTCAGGATTTTACCTGCTCAAATCCATCCATTTCATCAGTGCCATTATCCCAGAGCACTGAGCATTCCCATCCATCCATCCTGGAGCAGAAATTCCCTGCCCTGTATTTTTTGCTCCCAAAATTCTCCAAATTTTGCCCAGAAATTGTTCTTTTGGAGGAATATCCATCCACCAGATCTTGACTATTATTATCATTATTATAATTTTTATTTTATTTTTTAATTTTAATTTTATTATTTTAAATTAATTTTTTTATTATTAACCCAGTTATTTGGGACAATTAAAGAATTATGGGATCAATGGGACACTAAATAGACTTTGGCACGTGTGGGAAGAGGGGACTGGCAGAGTCACACAAGTTTTAATCCCATTTATCCCTCCTGGTCATCTTCACTGTCTGAATCCCACATACATGGAAATATCTTTAAATCCTTCGTGCAAGTTGGGCTGAGGAAAATCAGAAGATTTGGCCAAGTTGTTTTTTGAAGGCAGTTTAATTAGCAAAATCTCAAACTTTTCACTTCAGCAGGAGTTTGGAACAGCTGAGCTTGAAAGCTGTGGGATTTAAAATAGAAGGGATTCTCAAAACACAAAAATTCACAGTGAGCAGGGATTGATTTATAAAATTTATTTATAAATAAAATCGTTAATAAAATAAATGTATTAATATAAATAATATAATTATATGTAAATATATATGAAAATATATAATATATTATACATATATATTATATATTTTATATATATATTATATATAATTATATATTATTTTATATACATTATTAAAATGTATTATATTATTTATATTAATACATTATTATATTATATAATAATTATACATTATATATAATATATATAATATATATTATATATATTATATAATGTATATAATGTATATAATATATATAATATATAATATATAATATATAATATATAATATATAATATATAATATATAATATATAATATAATTATCATATATTATAATAATGTATTAATATAAATAATATAATACATTTTTAATAATAAAATTAATTTTTTAATAATACAATATTTTTCATTTATTTCTAAATTTTCATCCTGATTTCTCACCAATCTGTTCTTGCTCTGCCTCAATATTCTCTTTTCGAAGGGATAATTTGGCTTTAAGCAGACCCAGCACTGATTTTGGGCTGCTCCCTCTCCTCAGAATACAAATCCATTTATCCTGGGGTATTCCTGCCAGCTCCCAGGGCCCCCAAAGGGGATCTTGTTCCCACTCCTCTGGAAATCCTGGCATTCCTGCCCCTGCCACCAACCAGAATGGGCTTGGCCAGGAGAAGGAAATTCCCCCATCATAGAATAAAAAAGAAATTCCACATTATATTTCCAACAAGTGCCCTCACAGAGCCAAAGCAAGCTGAGAGCAGAGTGGTGGTGACTGGAAAAAAAA